GCAATGATTTAAATTTGCTACTCAATGACATTATTGTCCATTTTTGGCTAAGAGGAGAGGCAGCAACATTTTTAAAACCTAAATCTTCATTTTACTGAATTACCAAAACAAATGTTTACTGCAGACTAGACAATCATTTACAATCGGAAAACAGAGGACATGACTTGAAAGGACAACTTAGTGTTTACAACATCTAAAGTAACTAAGCTTAAAGCTGATGTCGTCCTCTACACCCACCCACTTCCGCCAAAAAAGAGAATACACCCACACTTACATTTGTTGATTTCCGTTTGTGGTATTTGCTGGAACTTCTGTTCTGTTCTCTTCTCTTCGTTTTTGTTCTTTTTTGTTTCTTTTGCATTATGTATTGCATTTGGTTTTTGCCCTGCCACTTTATCAGTGGTTGCAGAAGTACTTAAATACTGTGTTGTCGGTGAAACGTGGCCGTTTCGTTCCTAACTTGTTGCCAATATCATTTTTCACTTTAGGTGTCCGATTGGCACGGTCAACCCGCTCCCCCACACACTATATTGCGGGTGATATTAAGCTGATGGCAAAACATTGTTGTTGTTGGGAAAGAGGGGGAAGAAAGAATGTTATGGCGGCATTGGCAGAAGTCAGCAACCACAGGCCAGTGAATTGAAAATTTGCTATAGCATCAGCATTGTTTGCCACCGGAGAAGTGCATTTGTCGCATTGCATCAGGATTGGTGTTTGGTACAATGGGTGTTGGCTGCACCAGCCCCCCCTCCTGCCCCTCTCTGCTGAAAACAAAATGTCGACAAAATGGACGACATTCCAGTTATCCAGCAAAGTGGAACTCCCTAAACCAACAGTCATCCTGTAGTTACCCAGACTGACAGGCAAACCTAACTAACTATAGAGGACTTAAGGCACCTGGCAGCGTGAAAACCCATTTATCATTTCCTTAGACTTGCTTTTTTGCATTCACTCACTACTCTCCCAGCCAATGCTGGAGCATGGCACATAGCCTTTGTTGGTGTTGGTGTTGTTGTTTTTCTTGTTGCTGTCGTTGCGTTTCCTCCTTTTGCTGCTGGTCGTAACAGGTGGACATGATAAGAGGATTTGGTACGCTCAAGTAGAATTCAACATTTTACAGTTAATGTTAAATGGAAAATCCAGAGAAAAAAAAAACGAGTACGACAACGTCGGTAGCAGGAACCGAAAGACGAACGGACAGACAGGGGAGAGACAGAAAAAAATGTGAGGTTTTTTAATTGACAACTTGCAAGAATTTTTTCCTGTGGCTTTTGAGGTCAAACACTAAGGAGTTAAATTGAATGAAATTACAACCGAAAAAATGCATCAGTACCCAAAAGTGTAAAGTAAGGTGTTGGTTGGTATGCAAATAATGTTGTTTGCTGTGTAAACAAATTTAAAATGTTGAAAATTTAATTCAATATTGTACAGCTAAATAAAGGAAATTAAGTCGGCAAAGAATGAAAGCTATTCCCTGCTTAAAACATTTGCTGATATTTTTTGGGTGAGTTAATATTACAATCCTTTGAACACAAGACTATAGAATATAAGAATTCTTCAGCGGTGGAAATATCTAGGATATATTTCCTTTACAAAAGAAAGCTTTCTTCTTTGAAAAGTAGAGCTCAAGTAACAAAAATGTTTATATTCAGAATTTATGTAAAGTAGATCATACCAACTATGAACCAAATAACATTGACTGCGATAAGTATTATATCCGGACCAAGTTTCACCAAATGGTAAAATTCGGTTGAATAGGAAAAATATATTCAATTTTGGCTGATATGGTGAGCAATAACTGTAAAATCGGATGAAGATGTATATCGAAGCCACATAAAAATCTGAACGGATCTCGATACGGAACGGATTTCGAGCTGTATCTGATACCCGCTATCAAATATCATTGTTTAGAGTGTATATTACGCATGTGAGGGACTTAAGGTGAGAATACATAAAGCGCTTATCTGGCTGGCTTAAGTCATCGGCTGGCTTCTTCGAAAATGAACAAAGAAGCCTAGGGCCAACATCGAACTAAGTCAATCCATTATTCATCTACGAAGAAGCCAGCTGATGACTTCAACCAGCCAAATATGCCCTTTATGTATTTCCACCCTTAAAACCCCACATCGTGTGAAAAATATATAAGGAAGATATAACTATATCTGGGAGGTACCGCTATATGGGGCTATACAAAAACGTGAGCCTATACATACAATATTTCGGCAACGGAGCTACAACTCATTAGGACACAAAAATACAAATTTTTAGACAAATCCGCGAAGAAATGTGGCAAAAATCATCAAAATACTGAATATCGGGAGGTACCGTTATATGGGGACTATACCAAAAAGTGGATCGATTTATCATTTTCAATACTAACCATCCTAGACACAATACAAATTGTTTCGATAAATTTTGAGGCTCTACGTCAAATAATGTTGGCTGTATCGTGATATCAACAGACAAACGGACAGACTGACGGACATCGTTAAATCGACTTCGAATTTTATGCTGATTATGAATAAATATATACTTTATGGAGTCTACGAGGAATATTTAGGGATGTTACAGACGGAATGACAAAATTAATATACCCTCTTTTCCAAGGTGGAGGGTATAATAAAACAAATTCAAGAATTTAAAAAACGTATTTATTGTAATGCTTTAGGAAATACAATATTTTTATACCCTACAATACTATGTGTTGGGGGTATTATAAGTTTGATTGGGCCAAAAATTATGTAACACTTTGAAATATTCGTTTCCCACATAGGAAAGTATGTATGGGTCTTCCTATCGTGCCGAGCTGAGTCGATCTAGCTATGTATGTCCGTCCGTCCGTCTGTCCATGGTAATTTGTAATCACTCTACAGGTCGCAATTTTGGCCGATCTTCACGAAATTTAGAATGAAGGTGGGGCTAGGGTCAGAATATAACCCTATTTCTTTTGGAGATGATCGAATAATATTTAGGGGTTGAAATGGACCAGTTGCAGTTGCTCTACAGGTCGCAATTATAGACCAATCAAAGCGAAAGTTAGCATGGGGCTAGAGCTTAGGGCAGAAGCCTTCCAATTTTGATGGTTATCGGGTAATATTAAGTGGGTGAAATAGGCCACATCATTTGTGTTAAATAAAAGTCAAATTTTCCATTAAACCGCGAATATTTTTAATCCCGGCGAAATCACAAATAGATGAACAGGTCAATTCTGACCGTTACGTAGATGCCGATAGTAAATGTATCGGTTATATATAGCAAAAAATATATACAATGTGTATATACAAAGGAAAGGGATATTAGCCAGAATGCTTATATCTCAAGAATGGCTGCACCGATTTTGACAAATTTTGTCAATTCAGAATGCCCTCTTGACATAAAAGTATAAAATCAAAAAAAAAAAAAAATCGCAGAAAAACATACCAATAATAATGATAATATAGATTTTTTAGTATTTTGTGATATTTTTTTATTATTTTTTCATATTTTATATCGCATTCGATTTTTTCAATTTGACTTATAATATTTTGTAATATTTTTTCACCCTATAACACAGGTTGGGGATATTATATAAGTATTGCAAATATCGTCCGATCCTCACGAAAATTTTCACAAGGGTAGGGTTGGGCTCAGAAGGGCTGGGCCAATTGTTTTCAAAGATGTCCGCAATATATTAGGTGTTGAAATGGACCAACAACTAAAAATTTTCCTGATTTTGTAGCCGTTAGAAACCGAAGGACACGAAATCTCGCATAAAGTTAGAGCTTAGGACAGCGGGTAGAATGGATCACTAATTTTGTGTAAAAAAATACCAGCATTACTTACAGACGATATCCGAAATACACAAAAGGCGAGCTTTTGGAGAAGATTGCAAAATATTTAGGGGTTCAAATTAACCAAAATCAGAAATGTTTTTCAGATCACACAATTGAAGCCAATCGACGCGCCTGTGAAGAGAGTTAAGGACAGGGAAGAATTCTAGCATTTTGGATGACCATTGGATTATATTTAGCTGTAAAATGGACCACAACAACTAACAGCCCGACGGAGTGCATAAATATTGGGCAAATGTCCCTAGTCAAAATCCTAATTTCAAAAGCGAAATCTTCAAATATGGATTGGGATATGAGGGGGCTTCTAACATATTGTAGTGTTGTAGGGTATAACATAGTCGGCCCCGCACGACTATAGCCTTTGCTTACTTGTTTTAATTTGACAGAATTTACTTTTACAACAAATTCCGTCGCGCCTTCCATATATCGTTGAAATTGTTGCGTCAAATATATGAAATCGGCTGAGAAAATATATATGAATGCTACACCCAAATCTTAACCGATTTTAAATTAATTTGTCAAATTTATTGTTGTAACCAAATTCCGCCATACATTCTGAATAGGAATCGGTCATATATATCGTGTTTGGTGCATAGCACACATGAAATCAGCCGAAATATATATGGAAGCTATACCCAAATCTCCACCGATTTCTATATAATTTGGCACATTTTTATACCCTCCACCATAGTATGGAGGGTATATTAAGTTTGTCATTCCTTCCGAACGAATTTTTTATGTCTGCCAGGCTTTTGGTATTGAAAATGGGTGATGCAGGTCCACGTTTTGGTATAGCCCCCATAAAACGGTACCTCCCAATATTCGGTATTTTGATGATATAAGCGACATTTTTCACCAGAAATGTTTCAAATTTGGTATTCGAAGTTCGTAATGGGTACTACTGCCTATGACAGAAAAGTCCAAAAGTCAAAATTCTATTCCATAGACTTTTCAAATTAATTGCATATTGCCTAAGCGGTTTAAATCGCATAACATTGCTAACTATGTTGTTATATCATAACAACGGAGGTATTTTCAAAGGGTTGCCATATATTGACTCTGTCTTGTCCCATCTTTATTTACAAGCAGACCAAAAAGGTGACACTGCTTTATTACAAAATAAAATTTTAGTCATATATTGGGAACTCTTTCTGGAAATTATTCTATTAATTTTTGTTGTCAAAATGCAAATTCTGAAGTTTTTTTTTTTTTAATTTGATTTCCATCGAACGAAATGCATTAAATAATTACAAATAGAGTGCAGTTGCAACAATCCTTTTAAAGAAAATTGATTTCCACGCAATACCCAAAATTCTAACTGAATGACCGTAAGAGAACTTCCAATTTATGGAAATGCTGCCGGGTGAGTTATTGATTAATTTTTGTTTATACCCTCAGAGAGAGTGTCTCATCAAAATAACAGTTTTAGACGCTAGGTCTCTTTGGACCAAATCCGTTTCAGGATATTTGGAGTCGATTTATGGACGTCCGTCCGTATGTCTGTCTGGCTGGTGCGCACGATAACTCTCGCTGTGAGCATCCGATTTGATCCAAACTTGGTAAATCGTAATATTATTATTAAACTTAGGTTCGGCAATGGGCAATATCGGTCCACTACTTCTGATACCTCCCCCACAAAATGTCAACATTTTTTAAAAGAAAATAATTTGCTGCACAGAAAGAGAAAGGATAATCCGCAATATGCTAGATCAGTTCCATCAAGTACCTCCCCCACAAAGTGGGAAAATTTTGAATAATTATAACGCTTATAAAATGTGCAGGATGAGTCCGATTGTCTTCAAATTACACACATCGCAATACTTTCATTATCCAAAGATGAGGCGTGAAGATGGAATATATCGGCTCTTTGTGAAGTAGTCGTGCCAAATCTGTCATATTGTAATATTTATATCAGACTGATGTCAGAAATGGGCAACATTAAACAATTCCTTGGAGATCTCCCTCAAATCGGGTTAATAAATTCCATATCGATCGTTGGTTGAGAGTAATTTCAAAATCACTGACTTCTTTCACAAATAATGAAAAATATAAAAATTGAAAATTGTGAGGTACCAGAAGGGATGGGCCATAACTATCATTTTCGCACCATATCTTGGGTTTGTAGAAATAAAGGAATGTGTAAAACTTGAAGAGAATCGGATGATAATTAAGAATTTTAATGCTAATTTCGCATTTTATGACAGATAAATCTATTAAAAATTTTGAACCGCTGTTGGGAGGTACCGACACACCGTCTGTGTTGATAGAAATATTGGAATTTGCGCGAATTTGAAAATAATCTGATACACATTTCACTTTTTATGAGCTTCATGGTTATTCAAAATACTGACCCCTTTGTGGGGGAGGTACCAGACAAGAATTCCACAACAGAAGAAGAACAGAATTAATAAAATGTAAAGTAAATTTCATCATATTTGCTTACCACCTCCTTTGAGCTAGGTGTGCTCAAGATTCCAAGTTGCCCACATTTACAATTCTATTGCGCACCTTTTCTAAATTTGGAAAATTCAAAACAAATATTTTACACATTTTTATTTTAATTAAATTTCCATTGGTAATGATGCAGAAAAACAAATCCTTTTAATTTAAAAGCTTTTGTTAAATTGAAAACCAAACAGCGTGACGTGGTCCATTCGCATACAGGTGGTTGTAGTTGGTAGTTGTAAACGAACCAATAACAACGACATGCAACGTTTAGATTTTAAGCCCAAATTAAATGGAAGAAATGTCATCATCATTCAAAACAACAAATTCCAAAATAAAACAACGATTCTGTCGTATGGTAAAAAGTACCTTTTGGTCATTTAAAAAAGTTATCCATTTCATGGCTGCCTGGCATGGCATTACACTACACACTCTCTCTCTCTCTCTCTCTCTCTCTCTCTCTCTCTCTCTCTCTCTCTCTCTCATTCTCTCTGCCCAGCTATTGAATATCTCCCAGACGACAATTAAGGCGTTACGCATTTTTTAGCACCCAATGATACTCTATGATGTGTCACTAATGTCCAGCACTCTATTTTAGTGAATGGAAGATTTCACAGTTTGATGACTTGAACGCTTTCAGGAATTTGCTTACTAATGAGATAAATAATGACATCAAGCCAGATGGGGTGGAGTGATAGATTTTTGAAAACCATAGACCACCAGAAGTTCATCTCCATAGACCACCAGAAGTTTATCTCCATAGACCACCAGAAGGAAGTCTTTATAGACGGCCAGAAGGGAGTCGCTATAGACGACCAGAAGGCAGGCTCTATAGACGACCAGAAGGGAATCTCTATAGACGACCAGAAGTGAGTCTCTATAGACGACCAGAAGGAAGTCTCCATTGACGAGCAGAAGGGAGTCTCCATAGACGAGCAGAAGGGAGTCTCCATAGACGAGCAGAAGGGAGTCTCCATAGACGAGCAGAAGGGAGTCTCCATAGACGAGCAGAAGGGAGTCTCCATAGACGAGCAGAAGGGAGTCTCCATAGACGAGCAGAAGGGAGTCTCCATAGACGAGCAGAAGGGAGTCTCCTGAGACGAGCAGAAGGGAGTCTCCTGAGACGAGCAGAAGGGAGTCTCCAGAGACGAGCAGAAGGGAGTCTCCTGAGACGAGCAGAAGGGAGTCTCCTGAGACGAGCAGAAGGGAGTCTCCTGAGACGAGCAGAAGGGAGTCTCCTGAGACAAGCAGAAGGGAGTCTCCTGAGACGAGCAGAAGGGAGTCTCCTGAGACGAGCAGAAGGGAGTCTCCTGAGACGAGCAGAAGGGCGTCTCCTGAGACGAGCAGAAGGGAGTCTCCTGAGACGAGCAGAAGGGAGTCTCCTGAGACGAGCAGAAGGGAGTCTCCTGAGACGAGCAGAAGGGAGTCTCCTGAGACGAGCAGAAGGGAGTCTCCTGAGACGAGCAGAAGGGAGTCTCCTGAGACGAGCAGAAGGGAGTCTCCTGAGACGAGCAGAAGGGAGTCTCCTGAGACGAGCAGAAGGGAGTCTCCTGAGACGAGCAGAAGGGAGTCTCCTGAGACGAGCAGAAGGGAGTCTCCTGGGACGAGCAGAAGGGAGTCTCCTGAGACGAGCAGAAGGGAGTCTCCTGAGACGAGCAGAAGGGAGTCTCCTGAGACGAGCAGAAGGGAGTCTCCTGAGACGAGCAGAAGGGAGTCTCCATAGACGAGCAGAAGAGAGTCTCCATAGACGAGCAGAAGGGAGTCTTCATAGACGAGCAGAAGGGAGTCTCCATAGACGAGCAGAAGGGAGTCTCCATAGACGAGCAGAAGGCAGTCTCCATAGACGAGCAAAAGGGAGTCTCCATAGACGTGCAGAAGGTAGTCCCCATAGACGTGCAGAAGGTAGTCTCCATAGACGTGCAGAAGGTAGTCTCCTAAGACGAGCAGAAGGGAGTCTCCTGAGACGAGCAGAAGGGAGTCCCCTGAGACGAGCAGAAGGGAGTCTCCTGAGACGAGCAGAAGGGAGTCTCCTGAGACGAGCAGAAGGGAGTCTCCTGAGACGAGCAGAAGGGAGTCTCCTGAGACGAGCAGAAGGGAGTCTCCTGAGACGAGCAGAAGGGAGTCTCCTGAGACGAGCAGAAGGGAGTCTCCTGAGACGAGCAGAAGGGAGTCTCCTGAGACGAGCAGAAGGGAGTCTCCCGAGACGAGTAGAAGGGAGTCTCGATAGACGAGTAGAAGGGAGTCTCAATAGACGAGTAGAAGGGAGTCTCCATAGACGAGCAGAAGGGAGTCTCCATAGACGAGCAGAAGGGGTCTCCATAGACGAGCAGAAGGGAGTCTCCATAGACGAGTAGAAGGGAGTCTCCATAGACGAGCAGAAGGGAGTCTTCATAGACGAGCAAGAGGGAGTCTCCATAGACGAGCAAAAGAGAGTCTCCATAGACGAGCAGAAGGGAGTCTACATAGACGAGCAGAAGGGAGTCTACATAGACGAGCAAAAGGGAGTCTACATAGACGAGCAGAAGGGAGTCTACATAGACGAGCAGAAGGGAGTCTACATAGACGAGCAGAAGGGAGTGTCCTGAGACGACCAGAAGTGGGTCTCCTGAGACGACCAGAAGGGAGTCTCCATAGACGACCAGAAGGAGTCTCTACAGATGACCGGAAGGGGTCGTCTCAATCAACCGACGACTTGAAGGTAGACTCTATAGACCGACCACTTGAAGGTCCTCTCCATAGTCCTCTACTGACTATTTAAAGGTTATCTCCATAGACCGAGGACTTGAAGGTCGTCTCCATAGACCGACGACTTGAAGTTCGTCTCTATAGACGTGGGTCGTCTATAGACGATTTGAAGGTCGTCTCTATAGACGACTTAAAGGTTGTCCTATAGACCTACGACTTGAAGGTCGTCTCTATAGAAAACTTGAAGGTCTCCCCATAGACGACTTGAAGATCATCTCCATAGAAGACTTGAAGTTCATCTCCATAGACGACTTGAAGTTCATCTCCATAGACGACTTGAACGTCATTTCTATATAAATTTCTATTCCACAAATTTATCATCATTCCCATTGCGCCACACCCTGTTTAATGTATATTTTCATTGCGAACTACTAAAATGCATTAGCAAACATTTTCCTCACAGCTGCCATTAGGATTCTTAATTACATCGACGGATGGTTAATTGTCCACAAAAGTGTTAATGTTAATTTAATTTTATGGATTTGCATATCCGTTCAAATGATACAATCAAAATGTACAGCATTATTCATGGAAATGGCAATATTGAAATAATACAACGTGCATCGTCGTCGAATTGATTCATTCATTCATCATGATCCTTGGGGGATGAGTTTAATGACCGAAATTGAAATAATTAAAGAGAAATATGTAGTGTTGTAAAGAAAATTTTGCAATTAAGTAAATGTATCTAAGATGCTAGGAGACTAAATCGGGTCTAATTAATTAAGGACGTCATATACAACTTCATTTCCTGGATATTCAAAATATAAAAGAAACAAGCAAATGGTATACATGGGCGGGCCTACCATTTAATACTCCACAACATTATAGTTTGACGTAAAATTTTTTGAAGTTTTAATTAATCATTTTAAAGGTGGCAAAAACACTATACTTAGCTGGGTACAATACTTAAACGCCAGGAATTCACAAATACAGAGTGCAACAAAGTCAAACGCCATCATTTTTAATTTTTTTTTTTAAATTTTATTGAATGAAAGCGAAAATGTTGGAAATAGCATCAAATTTCAAATAAGTTTAGATTTGTTCGAATTGGTAACCTTTGACACGAATTAAGGCCTTGAAACCGTCCGAATGTTGCTCTGCGGTATTTTGACCCATTCCCGGCTAGGTGCTTGCTAGAGGGGATCGATACTTTGGTATTTTTTAGTGCCA